GCTTTTACCCTAATGACAATAACAAACATTAATGTTTACATCATGATTGTAACCGTTTCAGATTGTTCATTATTTATTAACATTCACATCAATTTGTACTATTTGGATTATTCATTATTCATTAACATTCACATCAGTTTGTATTACTGATAAATACACTTAAATTTTTAAGCCGATTGTTATTATGTACTACCTCCATTTTTATTTAGAAGAAAATTTTAATTTTTTAAGGTTGATTAAACTATCTATCTATATATATATATATATATATATATATATATATATATATATATATATATATATATATATATATATATATATATATATATATATATATATATATATATATATATATATATATATATATATATATATATATATATATATATATATATATATATATATCATGAATTTAAAAAATTAAAATTTAGTTATAAAAGATAACAAAGGGAGTACTACTGTAACAATTTTAAATGATTTTTAATTTTTGCAAAATCAAAATTTAAGCTTTAAGTTTAAACTGATCAATAGTCTTTTGATTACAATAATTATGTTTAATGTGTAATTTATATTAAAAAAAAATGCAAAGTGGTAAGTTAATATGCCTTGCAATCATTGTGGCTTGGTGAAAACAATTTTCTTTTAATTTTTTATAGAACTTTTGAGACCTTGATGATGAGCATATGCCACATCATCATTCACATCAGTCACGTGGACAAGTTTATGAACCTAATACTTTACCAAAATATTTTATGCCTCCTTCGTTGTTTCAGCATCAATCTTTCTTCTTGACTTTGTTGTGTGTTTTTTCTATTCATCGGTTGCATTTGCAGCCAACACAAGAATGTGGTTGGTAACCACTTATAGGGTTTCATGGAAGTCAGACAAGGATTGCATATGTTTTTTTATAGAGAAAAGAGATAATAATAAAGGAAATTAGGATTCTATTATTCACTAAATGGATCGTATTGTACAAAATAAAAATATATACTATGACTATTTATATACCACCCTAATTGGACTTGAGCTAACACAACTTAAATTATATTTAAATATTAAATCTATTTAAATCTAATCTAATCTATTTTAATATTTCAACATTAATAACTTACTTTTGGAGTAAGAATATCTCTCTTCAATATATATATATATATATATATATATATATATATATATATATATATATATATATATATATATATATATATATATATATATATATATATATATATATATATATATATATATATATATATATATATATATATATATATATATATATATATATATATATATATATATATATATATATATATATATATATATATATATATATATATATATATATATATATATATATATATATATATACCATGTGAGTTTTGATAGTTGAATTGAAAATCAATTAATTGTTTTATTGGAAATTTCAAAAGAAATTAACTATTTTTTGTTTCAAACTAATAACATAATAGTCATATAGTATTTGCATTTATATTTAAAATATAATAAAAATAAAATGATAGATGGACAAAATTGTTTAGCAAAAAAAAATATTATTTTTAAAAGATATAATAAATTGGTGCAGATAATATTTTTCACATATAAAATATTTGATTCAAAAATATATATTTTTCACATATAAATATTATTTTTATTTTGGCATTATTTACAAAAATATTTGAATCAATAATAAATTTATTTCTATTATTATTCAATATTTTGATCAATAATTTTATTTTATTTGTTTCCTATAATTTCCATTTTAGGACAAAAAAAAATTTATTAAAATTTAAATTAATATAATTTTCCTAATTAACTATTAAAACTTCAAACAAACATCGAATTTTGAATTTTTAAATATTTATATTGAATCATTTATACGAAAAAAATGTAAATAAAAATAATTTTTTACTTTAGTATTTTAAAAAATTATAAATTATAATATGGTCAAAATTGATTTTCTATAGTTGATCAACATTATCAAAAATATTAATAATAATAAAAATCTTAAATTGAAAAATAAAAATCATATATTAAGTAATTTATATAAATATTACTTTATTTTTTATATTATTTATAAAATATTAAAATCAATAGTAAATTTATTCCCATTTATAATAATAAAACTATTTAAATACTTGAATTAATTATAATTTTTCATTCACTTTTTATTAAAAATAAATTATAATAATGATCATAGTTAAATGATTTAAATTATTTAAAAACATATAAATGAGACGATAAATTAATTCAAACTACTATAAATAAAAATAGTACAAAATAATATTTTTAATTTATCATAAATTTCAATTTAATATCATTAATATTTTAATATGTTATAGTATTTATAATATATTATAATTTTAAAAAATATAATATATCATAGATATTATAAACTTATAATTTTTATGTTAATAATAAAAAATATAAGTTTTTATTTATTTTTAAATCAATGATCATTTAGTAATTTAGTAATTTTTAAATCAATAATCATTTAGTAATTTAATAGTTTTTTAAATCAAAGATCATTTATTAATTTTTTGCTATTAATCTATTAAATAATTTCATTTAAATTATTTAATTAATAAAATATTTATTATCATACAACTAACACAATTAGTAAAAAAATTAAAAATATATAATCATATAATAATTTTGTTTTGGTGTTCACAAAATAAGTATGAATGACTCATATTATCATAATTTTAATATCATTTAATACATGTATTACTTATGTTTTTTTTTGTCTAATATGTTTTTACTTATATATTTAAAAATCTTATGATCATATATTTTATTTTATATTATTTATTTTAGATTTCACTATTTATGATACTACTTTATAATCTTATCATTTTATTATAGTGTAATATATTTTATTTCTTAATATTTTAAATTTTCCACCCTTTCAATTTTATATCCTATTATATTATTTATATTAAAATTCATTTAATTAATAATATATTTATGATTATATAACTCACATGATTAATCAAAAATAAAAAATTATAAGACAATTTTATCGTAAAATCATTATGAATCGTTCATTTTATTCTATAATTTTAATGCAATTTAATTTATTCTAGATCTTACTTTTTTTATTTTTTATAATTGAATAGTAACATAAATGTTTTTCTTATTTATTTCTTTATTATTAACATATATAATAAGAAAAACACATTTTATATTTAAATTCATATATTATTTTAAATATATTTATTTTATTCAAAGTTTTTTTATTTTAAATATATTTTTTCTGCCATCCAACCATGCGAACTTTCTTCAGAGTTCTTCATTTGGTACCATTTTTATTTTTAACATTTTCTTTACTTTTTCAAATTTCATTTGTGTAACAATTTTCCCCTTTATGAAACGATTTTTTGAATTATAGTAAGATATGGATATGTGGAATTGTATTCTAATAAAAAGAGTAGATTAATAGATATTGCAGACTCTTTTTTTTTATTGAAAGGAGACTTCAAAGAAAAAATGTTAACTCATTTAAACCCGAACGAATACTTTTTATTGACGAAAACCGAATCCTTTAGCAACGTTTCTACCAGTTGCAACACCAACAATGGCGGGACCTTCTGCTCCAAGCCGCTCTCTTTTCTCGATCTCTCCGTTTTCACTGATTACTGGAAGTTTTTATCCTAATTACTGAAAGCTTTTACCCTAATGACTGTAACAAATATTAATATTTTCATTATGATTGTAACCGTTTCGGATTGTTTATTATTTATTAACATTCACATCAATTTGTACTACTCGGATTATTCATTATTCATTAACATTCACATCAATTTGTATTACTGATAAATACACGTAAATTTTCAAGCCGATTGTTATTATGTACTACCTCCATTTTTATTTATAAGAAATTTTTAATTTTTTAAGGTTGATTATATATATATTTATCTTGATTTTAAAAAATTAAAATTTAGTTATAAAAGATAACGAAGGGAAGTTAATATGATTTGCAACCATTGTGGCTTGGTGAAAATAATTTTTTTATAAATTTTTTAGACCTTGATGATGAACATATGCCACATCATCCTTCACATCAGCCACATGGATAACTAGAATAGAATAAATATGAAAAAAATTTAATAGATAAAAAATCTATTTAAACCTTTTAAAAATTAAGAAGTTAATTTGAACCTATGTGATAACAACGAGATTGAAGCAAAATATTTATAAATTCAAATAAAATTATGGTAAATATTCACCTTCACATCAGCCACGTGGATAAGTAGAATAGGATAAATATGAAAAAAATTTAATAGATAAAATATCTATTTAAACCTTTTAAAAATTAAGAAGTCAATTTGAACCTACGTGATAACAACGAGATTGAAGCAAAATATTTATAAATTCAAATAAAATTATGGTAAATATTCACCTTCACATCAGCCACATGGATAAGTAGAATAGAATAAATATGAAAAAAATTTAATAGATAAAAAATCTATTTAAACCTTTTAAAAATTAAGAAGTCAATTTGAACCTAACGAGATTGAAGCAAAATATTTATAAATTCAAATAAAATTATGGTAAATATTCACCTTATATTTTATTTCCAAATTGTTTTCTATGCAAACGATAAATTCTAAAGAATGACAAAACCCGACAACTCATTTTTAGAAGGAAAAAAAAGCAACTTCAACATCACATAACCTTGATTAGAGCGGTTAAGAATTGATGTTTGACAGTTCCTCAATCCACTTATGTATATTCTCAAATGTATTACTATACACACTATCAGAAAAGACTCATAACATTCTTTCCCCTCAGGTAAAAAAAAAGTTGAATATCATATAAAACATCAAGATATAATACCAGAAGATAATAAGGAAGTTCAAGCCATAAAATAAAACAAAATCCAAAATATTTATAATTTTCAAAACATCATGACTAATAGATTCACTACCTATATGATGAACTTTATTAAGTATTTTCTTTCACTTCGATAACAGAAATTGGTGACCCACTTAAGGCTCCTAAAATAATGGAGCTCTGTGAGGTGTTCCTTTCTGTTTCCTTTTTCGCTTGGAATGTTCACAAGCTTCCACCCATGATTCATGACAAGGAGCTTGGATGGAACTGATGGAAGAACTGAATCATCAGATTTTCTTGAAACAGCTCTTACCTGAAAGATCAAATAAAAAAATCAGACAATAACGATTAAATGACAGAAGTGTATTGAATGGAAACAATAAAGATTGTGATCATCAAAATTGTTGTCATCACCATGCAAGCAATGGAGCAGTACTGATACGAATGAGCTTCTTTCCACTTTCTACTGATGTTGAATTTGAAGGGCTGCGATCAAAGAAGAATCAAATACAGACACTGTAACTAACGTTAATCCAAAATATTGTATTATCAAACACATTATTTACTCTTATAGGCAAATGTAATTGCCGTAAGAATTTTTTAGGCATATGGGTAGGGAGACATACACACCACTTAGAGATTCAGTACAGATAGAGTTTCATAGCTTACCAGAAAATATAGGAAGAAGCACTTGAATACATTAGCAAATATTTGTTGATCATCCAGTGTTCACTAAATGTCTATATCTAACTGTGTCAGAATTTTTCATACCACTACTTAACATATACAAGAAGTTTGCAATTTCTCAATTACTTGAAATTTCAACCATTGCAACAGGAAGAAATAATGCTTAATTGCTTATTAATCAATTTCCATCTATGCTTTGGTGTTACATTTCATGAGACACAATAGAGACTTGCAATGATCTTTTACAACTTCTCTAAGTGAATTTAAGAACCTATGATTAGCAAACAAAGTCACAAAAAACTACACAATTTAGTAGTGAATCACATGAGTTTTGATTGTGGTGCTTAAATTTTTTATTCGTAAATTTATAGTCAAGGTAAGATATAAATATAATCTAATACCTGAATTTTTGAGGTGTCAATGTAAGTTCCCAGGGCAACAAGGCAGACAACATCCTTGTAAACATTTCTGAAAACTTGAAGTATCTAATGATTTTGATGATGCCCTGAGGATGGACAATACTTACAAGCAGATACTTTGCAGTTTATACAGTAAATATTCAACTTATTCCTTCGATTCACCAAATGTGAAGAACACGGTTCAAAGAACTTTTTCTCTAAAAAATCGCCAAGCCACCTTGGCAGGTGAACTTGACTTGCGCATCCTACAAATGAAATCATGTTACTAAATTCAATACTAAAAGTTACTGAAAAAAATAAAATCATCACATCATTGATCATGAATTTCTTAATTACTTCACTTTCAACATATATTTTTTCTCAATTTGGATTTCCTGAAAGAGCTGTTAGCTGTTTGGAATTGGTCTTAGAGTTTGTTTTAGTTAATTAATAAAACTCCTAGTTTGTAGGAGATAGAATAGGTTTTTCAATTCAGTCTTGTTATGGCTTATGTTATGCCAAGTTTTTCGGTCTTTCTGTTATGACTAAAGACTATATATGAGCCTTAGTATCTTTAATAATAATGCAAGTTGATTTACGAAATATAGAGCCTTCATTCTCTACATTTGGTATCAGAGCTATTCAACTGGGATCTGTGAGAGCAAGGCAGCAGCCTTTGAGAGATCAAACACAATGAGTGAAGATAAAACACTCACAAAGATTCCTCACTTTGATGGTCACTACGATCACTGGAGTGAGTTGATGGAGAATTTACTAAAGTAAAGAATCTATGGAGCTTGGTAGAAGATGGCTTTACCGAACCAAAAGAAGGAACCGCGCTAAACGCCGCAGAGAAGGCGAAACTGGACGATCAAAGAATCAAAGATCACCAAGTGAAGCACTACCTTTACCAAGCCTTAGACAGAAGTGTGTTTGAGCAAATCCTGGATAGGCGCACATCCAAGATTGTTTGGGATTCGATGAAAAAGAAGTTTGGCGGAAACGAGAAGGTAAAAAAGTTCCTACTCAACACTTTGAGGAGAGAATTTGAGGTGTTGGAGATGAAGAAAGGAGAAACCATCATTGATTACTTTGCAAGAGTAATGGTAGTTTCTAACAAGTTGTGGAGCAATGGCGAAGACATGGAAGACTCAAAAATTATGGAGAAAATCTTGCGAACCTTGACAGAACGGTTCACATACGTGGTGGTCTCAATCGAGGAATCCAAGGACACGGATGAAATCTCAATTGATGAATTGCAAAGCTCTTTAGTGATGCATGAACAAAAGTTCAATAGAGTCAACAAGGAGGAGGACGACCATGTCCTTAAAGTGGAGGAAAGACAAATCAGAGGAAGAGGAAGAGGATCACCGTGGGGACGTGGTGGTCGAGGCCGAGGAAGGAGCTATTTTAACAAAGCTACAGTCGAGTGCTACAAATGTCATGACTTAGGACACTTTCAATATGAGTGTCCTAAGTGGAACAAGGAGGCAAATTATGTTGAAGCAGACGGAGAAGATGAGATGCTCCTGATGGCCTATGTTGGTTTTCATAAAAAAGGTGACACCTGGTTCATTGATTCTGGTTGCTCTAACCATATGTGCAACAATAAAGACATGTTCTCTAGTTTGGACATGACATTCTCCCACTCTGTCAAACTGGGGAATGATACTTGTATGAAGGTGGCTGGAATAGGAGTGGTAAAATTGGTAATCGAAGGCACCACTTATTCAATAAGAGGTGTCTACTTTGTACCTGGGCTTCACAATAATCTCCTGAGTGTGGGCCAACTACAAGAGAAAGGATTGGTTGTACTGTTTGAAGGAGGAATATGCAAGGTGTATCATCCTAAAAAAGGATTGATTATACAATCAATCATGAGTACAAATAGGTTGTTCACCATTATATCTGAAAGGCAGGAGGAGAAGTGTCTTCATACAACCACCACTGATGTGTCAAGGCTCTGGCATCAACGATATGGCCATCTTAGCTACAAAGGGTTGCGCACGCTGCAGTATAACGACATGGTACATGGGCTCCCAAAATTCCCTGCATCAACCACTGCTTGTGTGGATTGTTTGAATGGCAAGCAGACTCGAAGTCCAATTCCTAAGCAGGTTTCATGGAGGGCACATCAACCATTAGAGCTTATTTACTCAGACATATGTGGACCCATCACACCTACCTCAAAAAGTGGTAAAAGGTATTTTTTGAGTTTCATTGATGATTACAGTAGAAAAGCATGGGTCTATTTATTATCTGAAAAATCAGAAGCTCTAGAGTCTTTCAAAATCTTCAAGAAGATGGTCGAGGCAGAAACAAACCTGAGCATAAAGTGCTTTAGAACAGACAGGGGAGGCGAGTATACTTCCACTGACTTCAACAACTTCTGTAGAGAAAATGGAATTAGAAGACAACTCACTAATGCATATACGCCCCAGCAAAACGATGTTGCCGAGAGGAAGAATAGAACGGTGATGAATATGGTGAGATCCATGTTATCAGCTAAGAAGATCCCAAAATGTTTCTGGCCTGAAGCAATAAACTGGACATTTCATGTTCTAAATCGATCTCCGACTCTAGCAGTAAAAGATGTTACACCGCAAGAAGCATGGAGTGGAATCAAACCTTCAGTGGAGCACTTCAAAGTCCGGGGATGCCTCACACACGCCCACATACCAACTCAGAAGCGAGGTAAATTAGATAACAAAAGCTCCACTTGTATTTTCTTGGGGATTAGTGAGAACACAAAAGGTTATAGATTGTTTAATGTTGAAACAAACAAAGTAATTGTGAGTCGTGATGTAGTGTTTGAAGAAAATAAGCAGTGGGAATGGGGAAAAGATTATGAGGGAAATAAGGAATTAGAGTGGGAAGAACAGAAAACAAATGAGGGAGTTGAAGAAAGTGTGCAGAAAATTGGGGAAGAAAATGAAACTCCGAAATTAGAGGGTGAAGTCGAATGTGAGAAAACACAGGAAATACAAGATCATGGGGATGAAGAACATTCAGATTATGAGGATGCAGAGCCACCTGCGAATCAGAGAGAAAGAGGACAAAGTTCAGTGCAAGGGAGAGTTCGAAGGATGCCTCAGTGGATGAATGATTATGTCAGTGGGGAAAATCTCTCAAATGATGAAGCACTCATGGTGAAGGATGCTGAAGTAGAGGATCCTATTTGGTTCGAAGATGCCGTAAAGGAAGAAAAATGGCGACAAGCCATGGATATCGAGATAGAATCCATAGAAAAGAATAACACATGGACCCTCACTGAATTACCAAAGGATGCTAAAAGAATTGGCGTCAAATGGGTTTTCAAGACAAAGAAAGATGAAGTTGGCAAGATTATAAAATGCAAAGCACGCTTGGTGGAAAAGGGGTACTCTCAAAAGCATGGAATTGATTACTCTGAAGTTTTTGCTCCCGTAGCACGGCTTGATACAGTTAGAATGGTAATTGCATCTGCTGCGCAAAAGGGGTGGAAAATCTATCAACTCGACGTCGAGTCTGCATTTTTACATGGGAAACTGATAGAAGAAGTTTTTGTTGATCAACCTAAAGGCTACGAGAAGAAAGGGAAGGAGAATTTAGTGTATAAGCTGCACAAAGCACTGTACAGACTGAAACAAGCGCCACGGGCCTGGTTCAGTCGCATCAAAACTCACTTCATCAAGGAGGGATTTCAAAATTGTGACAACGAACAAACACTTTTCATCAAGAGGAGAAATGAAGGCAAGATCATCATTGTAAGTGTCTACGTTGATGATTTAATTTTTACAGGTGATGATGAGAAGTTAATGAGGGAATTCAAAGATTCCATGATGAGAGAATTCGACATGTCAGACTTAGGGAGGATGAGCTATTTCGTAGGAATTGAAGTTGTGCAGCAAAATGAAGGGATTTTCATTTGTCAAAGGCGGTATGCAGAGGAAGTCCTACAAAGATTCAACATGTTTGAGAGCAATTCAGTCAGCAACCCAATTGTGCCTGGAGTAAAGATCAGTAGCGATGCCGACGGAGTACTGGTGGATGAGATTTATTACAAGCAAATTGTGGGCAGCCTCATGTACCTTACTTCTACCCGACCAGATTTGATGTTTGCAACAAGCTTAATCAGCAGGTATATGTCAAAACCTACTGAGCTTCACTTACAAATTGCAAAGAGAATCCTTAGATACTTGAAAGGAACGATAGGCTTTGGAATCTTTTACAAGAAAGATGGTCAAAATCTTGAAGCTTATACAGATAGCGACTACGCTGGTGATATTGAAGACAGAAAAAGTACTAGCGGATATACTTTCTTACTCAGCTCAGGAGTTGTGGCATGGAGCTCAAGGAAACAACCTATAGTCACATTGTCTACGACAGAAGCTGAGTTTGTTGCGGCTGCGGTTTGTGCCTGTCAAGCCGTATGGATGAGAATAATTCTAAAAGAGCTATGCTATGAAGGAGAAGAATGCACCAGCATCAATTGAGACAATAGCTCCATTATCAAGCTGTCCAAAAACCTGGTAATGCACAGGCGCAGCAAGCATATAGACATTCGCTTTCATTTTTTAAGAAATCTGTCAGAAGAAGGAACTATTGCTTTGCTGTACTGTACTAGTGCTGATCAA